GTTCGTTTAATCGTAAATCATGACACGATTTTCGTTTTAGATGCCTTCTGGGGTCACCAGGAATAGTGGGAACAGATAATTCTGAAATCAAGGGGTTGCGATGATTGTAAAGATTTAAGTACATACGTTTGTAGAAAATTCACATGCATAAAATTTCAAAATACTATTGAATTCATAAACCTATAATAATAAAAGGACTGAACGTCACTAAAATTTGCAAAAATAAAAATATCACGAAAATAAAATATATAATCGCATTTTTGGAGTTAAGTGATTTGCGACTTAGGCTAACGATATGTATGTTTTATACAACAATAGAATATTTAAATAAAAAAACATTGATGGATTCACCTATAATAAGCTGTCAGCTCATCACTATTTTAAAAAGTTTTCAATTTAATGAGAATACCTCATCAGTATTTGAGTTATTGYAAGTACTTACCTTATTTTTGAATTTATTATTTAATATTTTTTTCCATACTACGTATACCTACCTACGCATGGATTCGATAACTGTAATGGAATATTATAAATTATAATATCCAAAATATGTCCTGTATAATCAATAAAACCCCAGGAAAAGAACATGTTCGATTTCGCAGTCAGTCACTCGTCATCTCCGATTGTGAGATATTATAGTAGGCAATGGGCATATGGATTTGAATACAGCTATATAGGGTATTATAGGTATATAGAAACAGTTTATAGATACCAACTGGTCTCAACCTCCGGTTAGGTTAGGTTAGGTTAAAAAWGGAACCGGTCCGTGTTATRTTAGAAAAAATTATATTTCCAGTGTAGTGTTTAAACGTTTAAGTTAAAACTTGTACATTGTAATCARATTTCACATTCACATTTCACACTTGGAAATATTTAACCAGAATTAATAAGCTTGATTTGGCATATGCTTTACGCATGGCTTTGACTTCATCAATGGAACCAAGATTAGATAAAATTTTCAAAACAAAACAAGTACAACACTCTCATTAAATATTGTTTTTTAATTTTAAATTTATTTWATTTTATTTTTTTTGTAATTGACACATCGATATTGCTATATTTTATTTATATTTATATATACTTTTAACTTTGTATTAAATTTAATACACTAATTTGCAGACTAAACTTAAAAAATAAAGCATACCTTTTTTATTTTTTGAACCAAAACCAAAAGTGGTCCGTAGTTTTACTTAAAAGTCATCTAGCAGGTCAACGACCAAAAAGGTTTGAGATTCACTGGTTTATACCATATCATCAAATCTTCAATCAAATATTGTAAATTATGCATTTTATAAGATATGTTTGGATCTTTGAACTTAATTTTTTGTTTTCTTAGTTTTTTGTTATTGACGCATATAAATAAATTTTAGAAATATTGAATATAATTTAAAATCTTAAGTTTATTTTATTTTATTTCTTAAACAACAAGACAGACACAGCTGATTGCTGAATAAACATAATTTTGTATAAGCTTACATTATATATACGTAGAACGTAGGTATATTATATTGTTATTATTTAGTCGATTTATCCGTGTGTGGGACTCGKGTGTTATTGGTTAGAATCAGATGCGTGACAAGTGACAAAAATAATAGTAATTATGTGTAATATATATTAAGACCACCTTCTGTGCTAACTTAGTAATTTATGCATATTCAACATATTATTTATATATTGCTGTTCCAGGCTTCCAGCTAATAAACTATAGACGTGTTTATGGAGTCTGACAAACTGTCGATTTAAATTAACTCAAGATCAACTTTCAGAATTTTTTTTTTCTTTTGGAGGGGGGGAGGGTGTGTGGATAGATGATTTCATAAGGTCTTTCCTAAAAAAAATACTCTTACTGCTTTTTGGTCACATCTATGAAATAGTTCTAGACATTCTCTTGTAACTATACTACCTAGATATATTATTATACGTGGTGTAGATTTTATATATTAAATTCATTACATTTAATATATTAAGTATGTAATGAATAAAATATAGAATATAGCGATCCMCATGTATCACACAACTTAATTTCAAAAAAACATATWTATTTATAAAAAAAATCAATTGTTTTAAAAAAACAAAACTTGGTAGGTACTTGTGAATAATTATATATTAATATAACCAATAAYGTCAAATATTTCAGTTKTACCTATTATGTATAATATACTATAGGTCCCAAGAAACAGGACACACTTTAATACTTTATCACTCATTACCCTGTAAATATCTTTCAACTCTGTTAGCAGGACATTAAACTAGACGCATCGATCATAAATTCTTATGCCTTCCAATTTTTTTTAACTTGTGTATTT